AGTCGTCCTTTTCTTCTGTGGTTACATTTTTAACACGCATTTTTGTTTTTGTTATATTCAGCTTAAAGCCTGCCACTTCTCTAGATTCTTTAATCAATTCCAGCACTCTTTTCAGACTTTCTTTAGGGTTTTCAGTCATAACAAGTAAATCGTCTGCAAAAGCTTTAATTTTATATGTTTTGTTTCCCAGAGTGATGCCTTTAACAAGCTGATCCTTTCTTATCTGATTGTTCAAGACTTCCATCACCAAGATAAATATCAGTGGTGACAGTGAGCAGCCCTGTCTGGTTCCCTTGTTTATTTTGCACTCCTCAGTAATTCTTCCGTTGATGATCAATTTTGCATATTGTTCCAAATAGATGGCATTTATTCCTTTACAAATATTTTCTCCCAGTCCGATTTCTTCCATTATTTTTTTCATAAATTTCCAGGACACGTTGTCAAAAGCTTTTTCAGTGTCCACCAACATAATAGCTGCTGGTTTATCAATTTTAATATCCAAATATTCTAATACATTAATCACACATCTCATGTTGGATTGCATAAATCGTCCGGGAAGAAATCCGGTTTGATCTTTATGAATTATCTCTTTCAGCACCATTTTTAATCTATTTGCAAGAATGTCTGCGAATATCTTGTAATCGTTATTTAGCAGTGCAATGGGTCTGTAATTGGCCATGTTTGAGGCATCTGTTCCCTGTTTGTGGATAAGAGTAATAAAGCTGTCCTTCCAGGTTTTCGGTAGCTTTCCAGTTGCCAGAATATTATTCATTAGGTCTTTCATGGGAAGAAATAATGCTTGTTCTAACTTTTTATAGTAATTAGCTGGGAGACCATCTGGGCCCGGTGTCTTTCCTAATTTTGATCTCTGTATAGCTTGTTGCACCTCCATAGCTGTTATTGGTGAGTTCAAGATTTCAGTTTTTCCTTAGGTATTATTGGTAGTTTATTTTTGCCCAAATAATCAATTATTTTTTCTAGAGTCTCTGGACCTTCTTTATATAGTTTTCCGAAAAAACTAGCAAAATTTTTACTAATTTCCTTCGGTTCTTGAATCCATTTGTCTTCAATTTTAATTTTATTGATAATTCTATCTTCCTTTTTCTTCTTTAATTGCCAGGCCAGAAGTTTGCCAGGTTTATTTGCAAACTCAAAATTTCTATGTCGCAACCATTTTATCTTCCATTCTATCTCTTCGTTTATTATCATGGAGAATTGCGTCTGTAAAATTTTTATATTTTGCTTAATTAGTTCATCATCTGGTTTTTGGAAAAGGATCCTTTCCTTTTTTCTAATTTCCTCCCAAATCTCCATTTTCTTCTTCTCCTTTATTTTCCTTCGGAATGCGTTTTGTTGGATAAAGAAGCCTCTTATGACGGCTTTACCCGCGTCCCAAACCATCTCTAGATCTACTCCTTGATTTAAATTAAACTTAAAATATTCTTCTAAGATTTGCTTGGCCTTCTGTACAGTTTTTTTCATCGTTTAACGTACTCTCATTAAGTTGCCACCTTTTAATCTTTTCTTCTTTTCCTTTAAAGTTAACCCAGAATGCGCTATGATCTGAAATTGTCCTTGGATGGATTTCTGCTTTTGTAATATTATTTAATAAATCCTTTGTTGTCCAGATCGCGTCGATTTGTCCCGCCGATTTATGTGGCTCTGAATAGTGTGTAAATTCTTTCTCTGTTGGATTCTTAAACCTCCAAGCGTCAAACAAATTCAGGAGTTCTATTAATTGGAAAAATGTAGTTGGGAGTTTGTTCTGCCTCTTTTCTTTCTTCTTTATTGTTCTGTCCATGTTTGGATTGACTACTCCATTAAAATCTCCTAATAATATAATTCCCCCCCCCTAGAAATTCTATGACTTTTTCTTCCAAGAATTGATAGAATTCGGATTTTCTTTCATTTGGTGCATAAATTCCAATAACTATCACTTTTTCATTATTGATCTTAACTTCTATAATCACTGTTCGACCTTTTTCATCATTGTAAAGCAGTTTTGGCTCCAGCTGAGGTTTTACATAGATTACCACCCCTCTCTTTTTTTCTTTACTTGATGCAATAAACTCAAGCCCCAATCTTTTATTTATTAATACTCTTTTATGTTTTTCCGCTACATGGGTTTCTTGCAGACAGATTAGATCATATTTTTGCTTAACCAGAATATGTTCCACCTTGTTCCTTTTTGATTTTTCATTTAAACCATTTACGTTCCAAGTAATAAATTTATAATCCATACTTTATTTCTTATGATACGTGAACGGATTAATAAAAAATAATAAATAAAAAAATTACACATTCAAGGTCTCAGTATACGTTTAATAAATTCCCTTCTTAGATCTGTCTCCTAACTCTCAACTGTTTGTTCAATTTCCTCTGATTCTCCCAACAATTGCCTTTTCCCTCCGAGCTCTTTCCGGTACTTTCTCCAGAACTTGTCCGCATCTAATGCCGACAAGCACTTTCTACATTTCCCTTTAAAGAAAAAGGAGATGCCTTCAGGGTACTCCCACCTATAGTCCACTGCCTTTGCCTTTAGTGCCTCGGCTAGAGGTTTGTAAGCTTCTCTCTTTTATCAATCAATTTGGGATAATCTTGTGGACAATAATATCATTTCCTTCCGACTTGAATTTCTTCTTGTTGCTAGCTTGTCAAATTCTATTTCTGAAATCCATAGAGTTAAAAGAGACCAAACAGTCAGCCAGCCAGTTATTTGCTTTTGCTGCATTAGATTTGACTCTAAATGCTTTTTCTATTTTTGTGTTACTTCTGCTTCTTCTAGGTCTAACCAAGCTGCTAGCTCTTTTGAGATTTTTTCTCAATTATTTCCTCTGCGTCCTCTGTTATTCCTCTGAATCTTAGGGTATTCTCCCTTCTCTGCATTTGCAACTTCGCAATAGAGTCCAAAGTTGAATCCTGCTGCGCTTTCAGATCTGCTGTTTCTTTCTTTATCTTATCGCATTCCCTTTTCAACTCTCTATTTTCATTTTGTAATTATTTCTGAGCTTCCTTTAGGTTCTGTGTTTTACCTTTAAGGTCTAGCACTATTTTCGTCAGTTCTGAATTTTTTTGCACTAAATTGTTGACCTGAGTTGATAACTCAGCTGTTATTTTCACATTTTCATCTATTTTAACTCCCATTGAAATAAGTTTTTCTTCCGTTGCTTTTGCCTTTTCATTTACATTATTTTTTAAATCTTGGATATCTTTCTTCAAACTTAAAATTAATTCTCTCATATCTAGTGGTTGATCCATGTCAATTACAGAAGTTCTCCTGATTTGTGAGGCTGAAACTGCTGCAGAACCTGACACAGTTGCTTTTTTACCAGACATCACTAAGAAATTCAATTAACTCACAAGGTAATTTGTTCTCTTTCTTTCTGTCTTACAGACTGGATATCAATTAAATTCAATCTTTCTTAATACAATCGTGACAATATTTCCAATGTGATAATTAATAAATGTCAATTAAATTCAATCTTTCTTAATACAATCACGACAATTTTACCAGTCTGATAATAATCTCCAGCCTATGTATCCACTAATTCTTTATATTCACCAGTTTCACTAGATATATTTAAAATTGATTATGAACAATTATCTAATTAGTTACAGCCAATCATCAATACAGCAATATCACAAATTCATCAGATCAAATAAATATAATAAATGATTGCAATCCTTGCGTTCACTTACTCATTCAGGGTGATAGATCATATATATAAATCTTTAAACAGGTTAGCGGTTCAGTTAATCAGCACCTTACAACAAAACTAATGACATCTGATACCACTATCAGCTGTCTTAGCTACCAATAGATAGCGAAAGGCAAAGCAAACAAAAACAAAAAACAGCAACAAAAAAACAAAAACAAAAAAACACAAGGCAGAACCACACAAGTCGAAAACCACACAAAAACACAACCAGAAAAACAACAAAAATGAAACAAACAGAGAAACAAAACAAACAAAACAAAACAAAATACCCCAAAAGAAAATTACAAAAGAATGAAACAAAGAAAAGATGGGAGGGTAAGAGAAAAATAAAGCAAGAGAAAATAATAATAATAATAATGCAATTTATAATTTGTAAAGGAATAAAGAGGGGGAAGAAAATACGAAAAGTATATATAAATAATAAGAAAAAAGCTGGGGAGTATTTTCAATTAATAATGTACAATGCCATAATATTATGTGCTATTAAATTCTCTCTAGATGTTACTCTTCCAGAGGCAACAGGAATGCTATTCCAGTAATGGGGTATAGGGTCTATAAAAAATTATGAAACCTTGTCTCTTTCAGCAGATTATGATGCAGCGCTTTGGAATCTTCACTAGTTGCAGATCTTGCAAAAATCCCTGTAATTGCTCTTATATGTCTGTAATAAATGTAGGGGTTGCTTGTGCGTAAGTTGGTGCCACTCCTGGCTAGGTTGCCTTGTTAAACCTTTTCTGTCTGGACAGCCCTTCACGTCGTGGCTGTTCAGTCGCTAGCAGAATCCTTCAGTGGGCGTTTCTTAAACCTTTTCCAGCATAAAAGCTGTTTGACCACAAGTCTCCTCCTACTCTCCCTGCGCGGAAGTCTTCTGCGCAGGGAGGGTGTGGGTAGCGGAGGACCCGTGCTCTCCTCGCTGGTCTCCAGCAAGGAGTCCTGGAGCCCCCCTCGCCGATTCCCCCATCTGCCCCCCTTTATCCCTGGTGTTACGCTGATTTCCTTCCCCAGCTGGTGAGCTGCCTCCCCCCCTGCTGGGCCCTTCTCCAGCATCGCTTGAGAGCCTAGCCTCCGCCTCTGGCTCCGATGTCAGTTCCCTGACAATGTCTTATTAGAGGAACGTCTTTTTCAAAAGAGGGCCTTTTCAAGGCTATCTGGGAAGACACAGCGGGCCCTCTGGGGGTGTCGCCAAAATCTCTCCTCCCTCCCTCTCACTTCCAACACTCAGCCTAGAACCACAGAATTCTGGCCTCACCTCCAAAAGAGCATTGGAGGGGCTTTGAAAAAATGGCGGACGAGGTGGAGCAGCCACAAACCACAAATACTGTAGAAGAGCCCTTGGATCTCATCAAGCTTAGTCTTGATGAACGAATTGATGAAAAAATGAGAAATGACCGAAAACTTCGAGGCAGATTATTTGGTTGTTACCAGCACTTAAATAAGATTTTGGGTGATGTTGAGGAGACTGTGACAACAATAGAAATGGATGAAGAAACCTATGAAGAGATTTATAAATCTACCAAAAGGAATACAGTGGTACCTCGGGTTAAGTACTTAATTCGTTCCGGAGGTCCGCTCTTAACCTGAAACTGTTCTTAACCTGAAGCACCACTTTAGCTAATGGGGCCTCCTGCTGTCGCCGCGCCGCCAGAGCACGATTTCTGTTCTCATCCTGAAGCAAAGTTCTTAACCCGAGGTACTACTTCTGGTTTAGCGGAATCTGTAACCTGAAGCGTATGTAACCCGAGGTACCACTGTATTCCGATGCTGTTTGTCCGAGGAGATGGAGTTGTACTTGTAGCTCCTCCACTGTGGGTTGGCTGAAACCATGAAGAAAATGGTCATTGTTTCAAAAATGTTGGACCTCTGGACAAAAAATGGAAAAGGGGGGAAACCACCAAAGAGGAATTCAAACAAATAGCCAGCACGTGTAGACACAAAGTCAGAAAAGCCAAAGCACAGAATGAACTCAGGCTTGCTAGAGAGGTTAAAAGCAACAAAAAAGGCTTTTATGGGTATGTTCGTAGCAGAAGGAAGAACAAAGAAACAGTGGGTCACTCAGAGGAGAGGATGGTGAAATGCAAACAGGGGACACAGAAAGGGCTGAACTCCTCAATGCCTTCTTTGCCTCAGTCTTCTCAAATAAAGAAAACAATGCCCGACCTGAAGAATTTGGAGCAAATGATTCAGCAGAGGAAACACAGCCCAGGATAACTAAGGAGATAGTACAAGAATACTTGGCTAGTTTAGATGTATTCAAGTCTCCAGGGCCAGATGAACTGCATCCAAGAGTATTAAAAGAACTGGCAGATGTGATCTCAGAACCACTGGCAGTCATCTTTGAGAATTCCTGGAGAACAGGCGAAGTCCCGGCAGACTGGAGGAGGGCAAATGTTGTCCCTATTTTCAAAAAGGGGAAAAGAGAGGACCCAAATAATTACCGCCCAGTCAGTCTGACATCAATACCAGGGAAGATTCTGGAGCAGATCATTAAGCAAACAGTCGGTGAGCACCTAGAAAGGAATGCTGTGATCACCAATAGTCAGCATGGATTTCTGAAAAAGAAGTCATGTCAGACTAACCTGATCTCGTTTGTTGACAGAATTACAAGCCTGGTAGATGAAGGGAACGCAGTGGATGTAGCCTACCTTGATTTCAGCAAGGCATTTGACAAGGTGCCCCATGATATTCTTGTAAAGAAGCTGGTAAAATGCGGTCTTGACTATGCTACCACTCAGTGGATTTGTAACTGGCTGACTGACCAGAACCCAAAGGGTGCTCATCAATGGTTCCTCTTCATCCTGGAGAAGAGTGACTAGTGGGGTGCCACAGGGTTCTGTCTTGGGCCCGGTCTTATTCAACATCTTTATCAACGACTTGGATGATGGACTCAAGGGCATCCTGATCAAATTTGCAGATGACACCAAACTGGGAGGGGTGGCTAACACCCCAGAGGACAGGATCACACTTCAAAACGACCTTGACAGATTAGAGAACTGGGCCAAAACAAACAAGATGAATTTTAACAGGGAGAAATGTAAAGTATTGCACTTGGGCAAAAAAATGAGAGGCACAAATACAAGATGGGTGACACCTGGCTTGAAAGCAGTACATGTGAAAAGGATCTAGGAGTCTTGGTTGACCACAAACTTGACATGAGCCAACAGTGTGACGCGGCAGCTAAAAAGCCAATGCAATTCTGGGCCTCATCAATAGGAGTATAGCATCTAGATCAAGGGAAGTAATAGTGCCACTGTATTCTGCTCTGGTCAGACCTCACCTGGAGTACTGTGTCCAGTTCTGGGCACCACAGTTCAAGAAGGACACTGACAAACTGGAACGTGTCCAGAGGAGGGCAACCAAAATGGTCAAAGGCCTGGAAACGATGCCTTATGAGGAACGGCTAAGGGAGCTGGGCATGTTTAGCCTGGAGAAGAGGAGGTTAAGGGGTGATATGATAGCCATGTTCAAATATATAAAAGGATGTCACATAGAGGAGGGAGAAAGGTTGTTTTCTGCTGCTCCAGAGAAGCGGACACGGAGCAATGGATCCAAACTACAAGAAAGAAGATTCCACCTAAACATTAGGAAGAACTTCCTGACAGTAAGAGCTGTTCGACAGTGGAATTTGCTGCCAAGGAGTGTGGTGGAATCTCCTTCTTTGGAGGTCTTTAAGCAGAGGCTTGACAACAATATGTCAGGAGTGCTCTGATGGTTTTTCCTGCTTGGCAGGGGGTTGGACTTGATTGCCCTTGTGGTCTCTTCCAACTCTATGATTCTATGATTCTATGATTCTATGGACACTGTCTTCTGATACCCTTAAACATTAAGATTCTGCCCTTAATTCTGAAAGACCATCCAAACCTGATTTGTTGTGAAGGCGTAAGATCATTTGGCATATAAGTTGATATAAGGGTCTCCCCCCCCCCCCGAAATAACTTAAGTGCAGGTGTCTTTATGTGTCAGATCAGTGGATATAACCATTTTAGTTGCTCTTGTGGCAGCTGATCTTTTTAAAGAAATAAATCTGTTTGGGGTTTTTTTGTATGTATGTGTTTATAAGCACTTTTCCCATTAAGGGGGGGAGGGCATTGTGTGGGATGTGAAACACAAAAGCAGTCAAGTACAACATTCCTAGAGTGAACATGTTTACACATGGGGAGGAATGTTTGTTCAGCCAGCAGGTAAACTTCCTGTTTCCTTCTGGGCTGGGACAGACTTCCTTTGCATGTGACTAGAGGTGGGTGTGGCCTCACCTGAGCAGGTAATGACAAAAGCACAGGGCAGGGCAGCCATCTCTCTCCTTTTGACTACATGCATCGAAGAAGCAACATTTGCTTAGCCAAAGATGCCCTCTTGGCTTCCAGCCAAGAGATGACAAAGGGACTGTCTTCTTATGAGATAGTTTCCAGGTATATGTTACTTTTCTAAGCTAAGCCTGCCTTCTGGAATCCTATTGTGAACAGAATGATATGTGAGTAAACTCTCTTTATACTTTTATAGAAGACTGTGTCGTGTCTTATCTTTATGAGGGAATAAGGGGAAAATACCAGAACAGTTATTATAGAGGTTTTAGCGAGCCTGAGCAAATGCATCCGCTGCAAGTTTAAAAGGGAGAATGTTACTCTGCTAAATTGTGAACTTGTTAACACATGTTGGAAAGGCTATTATCAGACAATATATCCTCTCCTGCATCCCTGAGCATTCCCACACATTAGAAAAGGTTCAGAAAAGGGCCGTCAGAATGACCAAGGGGAGAATGGAGCAACGGATGGAGGCTGCAGCACTGGGGACTTTTTGATTTGGAGAAAAGGTGAGTAATAGGCAGCGTGGCAGAAGTTTTGACTCCACAGAGTGGGAAGTGACGGCGGCAGGATGTTTGTGTCACTGTGTTCCATGAAGTGAGACTATTGTCCTTTGTTCTTTTTCTCTTTGCTGTCTGATGCTAGAGAGGGAGGGAGCCATGTTGCAGTGCTCCGTGTGTGTTTATACTGTATGTAAATAAAGTACAGTGGTACCTTGGGTTACATACGCTTCAGGTTGCATACTCCGCTAACCCAGAAATAGTACCTCGGGTTAAGAACTTTGCTGGCCATGTGACCCGGAAGTGTCTCTGGACATTGCTGGCCCCCGGCCTCTTAAGTGAGATGGGCGCACAACCCTAGAGTCGGACACGACTGGCCCGTAGGGCAGGGGTACCTTTACCTTACCATGCAATCATTTAAAATTTTTGAGTCCTTTTTACCTCTAGGTCCAAATCTGTAGGCCTTTACAATTGTAGATTCCACCTCTCCCTTTGTTAGGTCCCAAAAGGACACAAATTCCTGGACGCTTTCAAATTTCCTTCTTCAATCTCTGGTAGACCTCTCAGATGAAGATATATCTCTCTTTCCTTAAGTTGTATAAAAGCTATTGCTGTTTGCGATTCTTCCTGTAATCTTTCTAAGTCTGAAAGTTTAACAGTTTCAATCTCTGATACTCTTTTCTGCAAACCTGCAACTTCTGTTTTGACCTCTTGGAGATCTTTGTGCAGAATTCCAAAGTCTTTTTTAAATTCCTGGAGACAGAGCGTATTAGCTCTGACCTCTGTTGCAAGACTCTGCAAACCCTGCTTATTGTCTTTCATAAACTCCAATATTTGCTCTTGGAAAGCCTGGTCTTTAGATTCTCTTCTAGTGTGTGGTTTTCCCCCCTGCTCTCCCACCATAACACCGTTGGTGACTCAGATTTCCAAGGTCAAAGATGCTTTTATTTCCACAGAGTCAGGAGTAATGAGCTAGTAGTCATGCAACAGCTCCAGTTTGCGGAACAAGACAGTTAAAATACAGTCCCAATTTTTTTCCAACCTGCCTTTCTTATTTATTTTCCTTTTCACTCCTCAAGCAATTCAAATATGTTGCCAGTTTTCAATTTAAGGGTTAAAATTCAGTTCAGCCTGCTGCAGCACTTCAAAGTATCCCAGTAGGAAACAAAAGTAATTGACATTCCTTCATTGTTGCATCACAATGGCTGCTCTCTGCTCTGACGAGTCACCCTTCCAGAGAGTCAAGTGGCTTTTAAAAGTCCTTTTTGAAAGCTTTTGCAGGTATTTCCGTAATGTTAAATTCTCTTCCCCCCCCCCTGCTTTTGGGGGGGATAATAGATTCAGTCTTTGGAAGTTTAAAAATCTCTAAATCTTTTCTCTTGCATTGGAAAACGTCTCTGTTTTCCTATTCTATCAGCAGGTAGGGGCTGGCTTCCGTTTTTAAAATTCCCTTTCCCTTATCCAGATTGTTTCAAATTTTTAATCCAAATGTAAAATGTTGTACTGCTGTTTTGCTTGGACACGAAGGGAAGCAGACATGTTTTTTCCTTTGTTCCTGAACTATGCTGAATAAACGCCTGTAAATATGCTTACATATGTCTCTGTCCTCCACTTCCGTTGTGAGAAGTTATTCACTCTGCTGATTA